CTCTCTCTCTCTCTCTCTCTCTCTCTCTCTCTCTCTCTCTCTCTCTCTCTCTCTCTCTCTCTCTCTCTATCTATCTATCTATCTCTCTATCTCTCGTGAAGCATTTACCACCGTGCACGTCGACATGGGCGCGCGTTTTCAGGAGGATCACATTGTCGTAGTTCAAAACCTCGAATAATTGTATATGGCCATCGTTCCCGCATTGCGTCTTGGAACTCATCTGGCAATCTCTGTCGGAAAACCCTAAACCCGCACAGCCGAGAAAAAGCGACATATCCATTGTAACGATTCTGCTTGGGTTTGAGATTTGCACGACCAATAAGCAGATTCATGCACTGTTGCAGATGCTCCTCCAGGCCAGCAAAAGTCACAGCCTCCTCCAAAAGCGCTGCGGGTCCCGGCCACCGGCTCCTAATCTCCGCGACTGTCAGCTCCTCGTCGCGGAAAGGATCAGTATCTGTCCCATTTCCAAATACTACTGCGTCGGCCCGCACGCCAGCCCTGCGTCGTCGACGGTCCATGTATGTGAAAGGGTGAATATTGTTCTGTCGCTTATGTGTGATATTGTTGAAATCTACAAAACAGAACATTACGGACACCGATTACCTTAGTACTGAACCTACTGTACCTCCACATAACGAAAACGAAAACAAATTTCAGAACGCAAAGTAGGCAAAAAAAAAAAAAATACTGAAAACATATAACAAACACATGGGAGATAGGGCTTGCATATGTATGAAGAGAAAATATACAATCATTGAAACTATCATTTTCTCTCTCTCCAACAACGAAGAAATTAAGAAAAAAATTAACGAATGCTACTCATCGTTGGGTCGCACTGCAAGGATAAAACATATCAGAGAAATCCTCGCCATTAGAGACAAAATAGGGCGGTGACACGACCAGGCGCTAGACGCCGCCCCGAGCAACCGTCCGGTAGTGTGTGTATAGTATACGATGCACAAGGGGGAATACGATATCATACATGAAATCACCGTCGACCGGTTTGAGATCAAAGGTACTGAAGTACGTGGTTGGCTTAGACATTAGGACACGAACGTGTTCGATGGCGTGGTCGAGAATATAAGTTTCTGTAGTGAGTCTAACGACTCGTTCCTCCTCCACGCTGACAACGAAATGACGATCCACCTTCTTGTATCCATTGCGATATCCCGCTGCATCGCCGACAGGATCTGTTACAGGAGTCATTGATTCGTAATAGTATACGGTGTCGCCGCCTGTCAGTTTTGTGGTGTGGTAACATCGGACAATCATTGGCGTGCAATGCATCGTCGCTTATTTCGTATGACGTTCTAAAAGTGTTGCAATTCACAGAAACCGACATCGTAAGTTATGAACCTTACGATCGAGCAACGAAAAACGCAAACATGATATTCTGCATGTACCGCATGGGGAGGGGGAACACACTTTAAACATATGTATGGGATGAACGGGTAGTCGCGGTCTCGAACACTGTTGAATGTTAAAAACCTTTACGATTTTGTGAGTCAAACCACCTGTTTCAGACTAAGCATGAGACGACCGGGATGATGGTTAGTTAACACTTTGGTACTGTTGTCGGCAACCGTCCATTGGCAACACAGTCCGCACATCTTCGTGGAGAAAAGTACTGCGTTGCAACGGCCTGTCGAGTTTGGAGAAATACCATACGTTGGGTGCTAACCTTTCCACATGGTCGACCGCAACGACTGACACGATGCACCTTAGCAAATGACCAATCATATCGAAGTCGGGGGTTTCACAGGCGTCAGGAACGACATCCGAAAGCTTTTTTGCGTGCATTACAACCTCATCAAGGCGATCATGGTCGTCGTACCCCAACCCTGCCACGACCCTCAAAGCGAGGGTGTCATCGATGAACGAGTAGTACACACGTGTTTTCATGGCGACAACCCCTTCCCAGTGTTCAAAGTCTCTTTCGTTTTCAGTATCGCGCTCACACACTGTCTCCCTCACGACGATTTCCTTTCCATCCACAGCCTCTTTCACAACAACAACAACGTCGCCCATGTTGTGTCGCAAGGTTGAATAAGTGAACCTGGCAATTACGAACAGTCTCAATTGTTAGCCGACGACACTGCGAAAGATGACGGCAACACAATGCGTACGATAAGCGACAGACACAATGAGTCCAGTCTCTCGGGTGTAAAAAATATATATTCATAATTACGAACAGTAGTACGTTGGTTGGTTAGTTGGGTGGTCGGGTTAGGTGGTTGGTTGGGTAGTTGAGCGGATGGATGGGTGGTTGTGTGGCTGGTTGCTTGGTTGGTTGGGTGGTTAGGTGGGCGGTTTGGTGGTTTGATGGGTTGGTTGGTTGGTTGGTTAGGTGGTTGGGTGAGTGGTTGGGTGGTTCGGTTGTTGCGTGGTTGGGTGAGTGGGTGGTTGGTTGTGGGGTTAGGTGGGTGGTTGGGTGGATGAGGTGTTAGGAGGGACGGTTGGTTGGTTGGCCGGTTGGATCGCCGGACTCCAAAACATGGGGTTTATGAGTGGTCGGTCGGGTGGTGGGATGACGGTCATTGGGTGGTGGATAGTTGGGTGGATGTGGTGGTTGGTTGGGTGGTTGGGAGGGTCGTATATTTGGGTATTATATTTGGGTGAGTGCGTTTGTGGATTGCTTTATTGGTTGGGTGGTTGGTGGGTGGGTGGTTGGGTGGTGGGAC